GGATCTACGACAAGTGTCGCAAGATAGGAGGAAATTGGAGGGGGAAAACAGGGAGCGCCTATTTTCCCGGGAAGAGTGGCTAACCAAAGCCCAAATTTGTCCTCCTCGAGAAGGAGACGCGCAGGTTCGTCTCCGAGCACCGCGGTTGACGATAAATCTGACGAGGAATTAATTGACGAGGAAGAAGTGAGTCACATGGCCACCGTCGAATCAGTTGTAACAAAAATTGGCTTAACGCATCCGATTGTCTATGACATTTATGACTTGTGTGACTACGTCAGGGATGAAAAATTGAACTATTTTACTGTTTCCATGCTTAAGGAGATCTGTACTTTCTTCGAGCTCCCATTTAAATGGGAGTCGTGCAGAGGCATAGGGCGAAGGCAACCCAAAACATTAGGAGCAGGGGGAGGAGCTTATTTAGCCGGCCTTTTGCATGTATTTGTATATACAATGCGATAACCGTGGTACACCAAAAAATCGGTTTACTTATAAAACTCTTCGTCGTTGTCGTGTGAAAAAAAAGTACAGGAAAATTGCAAATGAAAAGAATAGGGTTTAGTGATAAAAGGTCACATCTAATCAAGGAATGAGCTGAAACTAACATAGTTCACTTGACAATTATATGTCAGGCTTATTAGGGGAAAACGCTAAAAATTGTACATTGCTAGTTTTATTCACACCTTACGTAAATGACATTGGTTACTGTTACGGAAAATCATATTTTAGAGTCAGCTTTTATATAAAGCAATGATTTTGCATACATTCTTGGGAACAGCAAAAATGATTGAGAACAAACCTTCTAAGTATAGTGTTTATTGCGTGCAATAACGCATAAATAAAAGGTTCTGGAAGAAAAGACACCTTATTTTATACCACTGAGGACAAGCAAAAGGTCATATGGGTACCTCGGTTAAAAATATTTAAATAACTCTATTAATTAATACCAGTTCTAATTTAAAGGAAAAAGTTATGAGAATAAAACGAAAGTTGCCTGTACCACGAAGCATGCCTTCACGGTTTAGACTGAGAGTCCTAAAGCTTTTTTAGCATGTATACACCGTATTCACAAATGGCGGACACGCGGGAAAAAACTGGTGCCTAGTCATGAAAGCGAGGCGTTGGAGGGTAAACAAAAATTGCAAATGAAGACTTTCAGTGAACTTGCAGAGTGTTTAGCACGGATTCCACCTAAAATAACTTTCTATGGACGTCTTTTTAAATACAATGACGTGGGACGTCTTCTGTTTTTAATGTTTAGTACTGATTTGCTGTTTGCAATCAAAAGGGACTTGTATATCTTCAAGGAAACAGGATGATTTTGTATGTTGCCGAAGCCTCAGAAGCTCGACAAGTGGGTGATGGCTGGAGAAAAGCGGCAAACATGTTGGCCCAAACTTCACGCTGAAACCGAATACGAAAGCCAGCTCACTGCAATTCTGTAAAACAGAAGTAAAAACAGATATTGGTGGCAAGAAAAAAAGAACTAAGCGACGGATATATGGCCTACTTGTCAACGGAAGAGACCTCCGCCATTACTCAAAACAGGTCAAGTCGAGAGCGGGTGAAACTTTCACCCGTACGGGCCGGGGGGGCGAGGGGGGCTGCAGCCCCCCCAAAGTTTGGGCAACTCAGATTTTTTGGGCAGCAAGAGAAAATTTGAGCAAAGCCAGTTTTTAAAGACGTTTCCATGTTTTTTATTATTATTATTATTTTGAAGAGATAAATATTTTCTATTTTAACCAGAAGTCGGCGTAATAATTCAGTTACGTTCACACGAGACAGTGGTTGCCTAGCACGTGATGAGTTTCTGGTTATAAGGGAAGGGTATCATATGCTGATTTTTTTTTGTTGGGCACTGTACTGCACTGCACTGGCTGGAATGGGCTATTTCGAGTCGTGAAGTGATTAGAATAAACTTCCGCATAACTTTCTAGAATCACCTCCGCTCTTAGAACAGTGTGTGGCAGAACACGCATCAGCAATGGCTCTGAAAGTGAAGAAGTGGCTGACTAATTCTCAGTTTGAATTACGAGAAGAATCTTAATTTTTTGAAAAAATCTATCGAGTGGTTTAAAACTTATTCATTTATTTGTTTAAGTAGACCGAAATGTTTACAAAACCCCTAACAATAGCGCTAATCAAATCCTTCTTTATAGCAATTGACAGGAGATATCTCCATGATCTTTCACACACGTTTTTAAAAAGATTGAAACTACTATGAGGAGGAATTGCATGTCAAAAGCGCTTCGTTTTCTTCAGATTACGACTAAACATCAAGATTTTCCTTTTTTACCTTATTTCTAACAATAAAAACTTCTTCCCAAAATATTTCGGTAACGCTCTAACAGTTCCGTTTTAACTTCACGAACATCGAGGCGACTATTGGAGGAAAGAGCTCCCCTGAACGATTTTGTAAGAACAGTTCCCAGTGAGAAAACTTGCTGCAAGTATAATAGGTAATGGCGTCATTTCGTTACTATGACAGCTCCGATGTCAT